TGTTATGGGTCTGTTCAGATTTTCAATATCACTTTGTTGTGGTTTGGTTAGGCCGTGTGTTTCTAGAAATTTATCCATTTCCTCTAGGTTTTCAATAAAAGTAAAGTTTTTGGAAGTTATTTCTGCATGAATTTTTATAAGTAATGTGTGTCTTGGTGGAAAGAAATGCATACTATTTTTGTCGGTTTTCCTCTAGGGTAATTCTTCTCCTGAAATTACTTTTGGATGGAAGTATGCTCTTACCCCATTAGAAGATGGTAACCTTGGAGAATGACCATGGAGAAGGGGATGAGTTCAGGGGAAGGGCTGCCTTCCAGATCATCTCAGGTTTCAGCTGTTAAAGTAACAGCCGAAGAGTTGGAAACAAAGCAGTCCCATAAAGAGAAACGAGTGGGCTTTGTGCTGGTGCATGCAGGTAAGCTCTAGGTGGGTGAGTGGGAAGTTGAAAATAATGCTGATTTTTTTTTTTCTTGAAGTATACTGAGAATTGTTTTTCACATCTGGAGCATGTAAACTGTCAAAGCAGGGTTGGAACCAAAGACATCGTTTGACTTTGCTGTAGTGAGATCCTCTCCTACTCGCCAGCTGGAAGATCTTATAATGACAGCTCTTCCTGTGTCTTCTTCATTTCCCTCATCCATTATTTACTTGTACCCATACATATTTAGGTAGTGTTAAAACCTGGCAAAGTAACATTTTAAACTCTGATTTGTGTTTTTAAAAATAAAAATGTTTCTTAAAAATTTTTATTGCTCCCATATTAGACTGTGGCCACGTTAGGGTATAATTACATAATCTTAGAGCTGCTTAATCCTCTTAATATTATAAACAAAGAACCTTAAGAGCAGAGAGATTAAGTGACTTTAAACACAGAGCTAGTTGGTGCTAGAGACATGCTGAGAAACCCAGGACCATGAGTCCCAGTCTAGTGTTCTTGGCATTACATCAGCCTGTCATCTCTCTACTTCAGACGACCACAGGACAATGAGGTTCAACCCCTGCATTCCCCATCACTGAGTGCTTTTGAGTTTTAGAGCAGTGCAGCTGTACTCAGGTCTCTGCACAGAAGGCTCTTTTGTTTGGCCATTTTTATTGCCTGAGTTCACAGTCTGCACTCCATTACTTCATTCCTGTGAAGGGAGAAGAAATGGCTGGGTCTCCTTTTAACTTTCTTCAGACTATTAAGCAGGATGGGAGCAGGGTTAGTTTTGATATTAGGTGAGGACTGGAATTGTTTCTTTTTATAAAACTGATATCCTCCCTGGCCATAAACCTTTGGCTATATCTAGACAGGATGACCTGTGAAGTCTCATAGAATCTAATCCAGAAAGACCTAAAAAAATGGATTCAGTTGTCTTTTGTTACAGGTGATTTTATAGAGAAGAAGGTATATTTATGGAAATAACCCAGGTAGAAGTAGATTTAGGACGAGAACTCCTGCCTTCACACTCCTAGTCCAGAGTTCTTTCCACTACGCTGTGTTGTTGGTGCGTCTCCTATAGTACCTAGTGAGTTATCTTATTCAGAGTGAACATTTGGAAAATGCACAAAAACATGTCTGCAGTTGGTAACAAGCAACAACATAGAGCTTTTGGTTTGTTGGAAAACATTGCTTTCTGTGACTCCCATGGTGGTACACGACTGTCCTCCTCTCTCAGAAACATATGGAAAAACTAAACCTGTTGCCGTTGAGTTGATTCCAACTCATAGCAACCTTATAGGACAGAGTAGAACTGCCCCATAGGGTTTCCAAGGAGTGGCTGGTGGACTCGAACTGCCGACCTTTTGGTTAGCAGCTGAGCTCTTAACCAATGGCTCTCAGGTAAAATTGCTGCTGGGAGCCATCAGTAGTAGGAAGAAGTCTGGTTTATGGTAGTAGATTGTGTAGATAAAGGGTTGACCTCCTTCTCAATTATTAGAAGGTCAGATAGAGTGGTTGGTTATGCAGAAGTATGTATCTTGGCATGTTTAACGGAATAAATTCAATTCCTCATCCAACGTATGGATTTTAAAGCTGTCTTTTTAGCACTAGAATAGACTTGCCCAGACTTCAGTCATTTGAGTTACAGATTCTTGATTTTTCCTTAATCTATATACTACTTGCACTATTTACTTAATATTAAGGAAAAAGAAAACTACGAACTTTTTTAAACTTAAAGATGCAATTTATTTGTCACTTAAATGGAATATCAGTATCACTTGCCATAAAAAGAGTAGAGACATTTCAAAAAACAGTGTAATTAAATTTAAACTAGATTCTTTTGCTTGTCAACCTGCCTTTCCTTTGTTAAATAGGGAAGCAAGTGTTAAGCAAATATTAAAGATATACTGGGGCCAAACTGAGACTTCTTCCATACTCCAGTCAGAGAGATTGCATGTTCGTGCTATTTAATACTGTTCTCTGTACACTGAGGAGTCCTTGGGTGGTGCAAACTGTTCGTATGCTTGGCTGCTAACCAAAATGTTGGAGGTTGGAGTCCACCTAGAGGTGCCTCAGAATAAAGGCCTGGCAGTCTATTGCCTGAAAAATTAGCCATTGAACACTGACACAAATGGGGTTGTCACGAGTCGTCGTTGATTGTCCATGACAACTGTTTGATTTTTGTTTTTTTCTATACAATAAAGTCATCTATTTGGCAGTAGTGTCCTGTGCTTTGGGAAATATTTGTGCCTCTGAAGTATAAGACTGACCTGGGATCACCTGTTTGTAGAGAAGCAAGAAGAGAGGCCTGTTGAATATTGGCACGTGCTCTATGAAGGTTCAATGTTCTCTGGAAAAACAGGATTAACATCTGGGTGTATTATGGTTCCAGTTGTTTGTGCATCTTTTCTGTTATTTTGGGTCCCTGTACCATAGGCCATTCTTTCTCTGCCTTTAGAAAAGGTGGGTTAGGCTTATGTTAGAGAATCTGAAGACTCACAAGAGGAGTTGAGAGGCCTCGATAAGTAGTTCTTAATCTCCCTTAGAGGCTGTGGGGGAATGGAGAGAAGACTTCAGTACTCTGTTAAAGAGCATTAATTAGAGGCTTGATCATCAAGAGCACTTAAAGGCTCTTGTCTTTGTTTTTTTCTTGTTTGAACTGTTCTCAAATCTTTAACCAAGCAAGTATTAATCCCCTTAGGGAAACATGTACTCAGAGCCATTCTCTTGTGGAAGTTTCTGTGTATTAAGAGACAGGAAAAAACCAAAAACCCATTCTGTCATAGCAACCCTATAGGACAGAGTAGAACTCCCCATAGGGTTCCAAGGCTGTCAATCTTTACGGAAGTAGACTGCCACATCTTTCTCTTGTGGAGAGGCTGGTGGGTTCAAACCTGCAAGCTTTTGGTTAGAAGCTGAGCACTTAACCACTGTGCCACCAGGACTTCTTGACAAGAGGCAGGAAACACCAGGATTTCTAACAGGCAGTCATGAATATGATATCACTGAGGTTTCAGAGGCATCCTGAGGTACTCTGGTGGTTGAGAGGATTTGAAGCATTTAGGTAGAAGGGTGATAGCTGTGGCAGTGGTGGTGAAGTATAGGTAGAATGTAAGTAGCACCCCTTAACTTCAAATGTTGTTCAGAAGCTACATAGTTTTCTGAAGTTACTATTAAGAATTCTAGATTCTGAACAGTAATTTCCCAAATGCAGGACTTTCTATAGGTCAACAGAGGGGAACTTGAAGGGATCTTATACCTGACACCTAGTAAGAACTCCTGACTTTGGAGAGAGGTTCTGAGAAGGAGGAGGGGAGCTGATCCTGATGAAACCTCCTTGGTGACATGAGCTGTTTATCGGGCCTCTAGCAGGGATATTGGAAACCCTGGTGGCATAGTGCTTAAGAGTTTGGCTGCTAACCAAAAAAAGGGCGGTAGTTTGAATCCACCAGACACTCCTTGGAAACCCTATGGAGCAGTTCTACTCTGTCCTGTAGGGTTGCTATGAGTTGGAATCAACGGCAACAGGTTTCGTTTGGTTTAGCAGGAACATAATTCTTGACAAAGAAGATAAGACATGATATTAAAAAGACTTATGATTGGAGAAAGATGCTATTAGATTTTTAAAATTCCACACAACTAGAGAAATAATTTTATTTTCACTAGGACAGAACCAGTTTATATGGACTATTCAGATAATATAAACATGGTCTGATTGTTTTCTAAATTTTATTTATTTTGTTGTTGAGAGTATACACAGCAAAACACACACCAATTCAAGGGTTCCTACATGTACAATTTAATGACATTGATTACATTCTTCAGTTGTGCAACCATTTTCACTCTCCTTTTCTGAGTCATTCCTCCCTCATTAACATAAACTCACTGCCCCCAAATGTTCCTATCTAATCTTTCGAGTTGCTGTTGTCACTCTGATCCCATATAGATAGTTCTTAAAAGAGCATAATGCTTAAGGCAGAGGAAGGTCTGATATTTTAATGTTAACTAAAAATTGATTGATTCTTTTACAGGTGCAGGTTATCATTCTGAATCCAAAGCCAAGGAATATAAGCATGTATGCAAAAGAGCTTGTCAAAAGGTATGAACAAAAGGTATAATCTAAACATTTCAGTTTGTCAAAAGGTATAAACAAAATGTATGCTCTAAACCTTTCAGTTTTTGAACATAAAGCAACTTTACCTAGAAATTAAAAATTTTAATATTTAGAAGAAAATCTTTCGGTCACAAAATTACTTTGCTCATATTTGTGGGGTCTTTTTTGGGTTTGTTTTATATTTTTTATTCTCCAGATGATGCTTAGATCTGTCCCCTCCTTCTACAGATTAAAGTCTATTTTTGGGATTGTGGGCACATAATCATATCTCTTTTTAAAAATCTTTGCCAAGGCATTGCCTTCTATAGAGGGTAGGGAAAACAGTGCAAAGGCAGTCAATGTGTCTTTCCGTGAAGGGGATAAAAAATAATTAAAAATTAAAATAGGCACTTTTCTTAGAGAGATTGTGCTGTACTTTTTCCTTCGGTTTTTCATCACGTGGTTTGTATCATAGCAGATTCATCGTCATTCGTGGGTTTAGCTTTGCCCTTGTTCTCAGTTGTGTTTTTTTCCCCTTTGGTTTTTGAGGTTTTGCTAAATTATTGGATACTTAATGTGGGGCAGGAATGGAATTAGAAGAAATATTGTTTGTTTTTATTTTGATCCTGACTGTATACTCTTGTAGGCAAACCTTCCATTACTTTTTACGCAAATAGAATGTTAATTGAATATTGTAAAGCAAGTAAATACAGGTTTCTCTCTGCTCTTTTCATTTATATTTACATACCATTTAACAGAAAGATTATTCTTTGAGAGCCAAGCTCTTGCTTATGAATGAAATCCCATAAATAAGAATAATTTTAGGAATTTATATAAATTCTTTATTAAAAATAATAAAGCGAAATGTGAGAAGTTCCCTAAACTATTTTATAATTTTTATATTTTTAAAGGTGTGAAATCTTTTCAGAAATAAGTTTTACTTTTATAGAACTTTAGTCCTAGAAACATATATTTGGACTGTATAATCTGCCTCCTCAATTTATACAATGAATGAATTTTTTAAAAGTTTAATGAGGAATACAGTTCTTAGCTTTTGAGCTTTCTCGTTATTGACTAAATTGGAGTTTTAATAATTCATTTAGAAACCAGTCTCCCTTTCTTCATAATTTTTGCCAAGCTTTAGACCTTTACTCTTTGTAGTTTATATTGGAAAAGAAAATGATTTATCTCAGTATAAAATATAGCATAACATATGCTTCCATCTCAGGATTCTGTCATGCCACTGGTTTTTATAGATATGGGTGGGAAGAATAGTTAACAGTGAGGAGAGACATTATTAGCTTAGATAGAGATTCGGTCATCTATCTAACATAAGACTTGTCAAGATATTTAAACCAAACGGAATTCATATAAATTCTGTGGCTATTTTGAATTCTTCTGTGATGAATGAAGCTCTTTGACTTCTAGATTCCTTGCATCTTGCTTTTAGTGGCCAGATTTTATTCATTGTCTTAATTTGAATAAAATTAAGTGAGCTGTATCATAAATTAACCTGAATGTAAACACTTGCTTGTTTTAAATCTAAGTAGTTTATGTCTTGAAGTATGGAATGGAACTAGTGATCATTTTTTATTAACTATAAATGTCTCCTGCACCTCTTTAAGCCTTTGCAGAGTTTATGAGTATGTTTGAGAAGTTGTGATTTTACAGTGAATTATGTCTCTGCTTGGTTTCATAGGCAATTGAAAAGCTACAGGCTGGTGCTCTTGCAACAGATGCAGTAACTGCAGCTCTGGTGGAACTTGAGGTATTTCTTTTCTCTGTTTATGTTTTATTTAAAATGTTTATGAGTTGGGACTCCTTGTTCTTAAGTGACGTGAAAGTTGAATTAGGCAACCATGAACTATATGACCAGTGTTTCCCAACAATATTAACCAAGTTATAAAGAAGCCAGTGTGTAAGGTTGTTTTTACTGGGGACTTTTCCAATTATGTGAAAGTCAGTCAAATTCCTTTCTTTCCCCATTTTTTGTGAGATTCTTGAATACAAAAGTTAATAGTGATTGGATACTTAAATTTTCCTTAATATTTTCAGGTGGAAAATTCCTGACGTTAACTCCCCTAAAAGTAATATGTGTTCTGTTGTTAAAAAGAAAGAAAAAAAAAAAAAAGAGTTCAACTGTCTGTTGTTAGGTTTTGTCGAGTAGGTTTTGACTCATAGCGACCCTGTGTACAACACAGCAAAACACTACCCAGTCCAGCCCATTGCTATGTTTGAACCCATTGTTGCAGCCACTGTGTCAGTCCATCTCGTTGAGGGTCTTCCTCTTTTTTGCCAACCCTCTACTTTACCAAACATGATGTCTTTCTTCAGGGATTGGTCCCTCCTGATAATATGTCCAAAGTACGTGAGATGAAGTCTCGCCATCCACGCTCCTAAGGAGCATTCTGGCTGTACTTCTTACAAGACAGATTTGTTGGTTCTTCTGGCAGTCCATGGTTGTCTTAGGCTGGGTTCTCTAGAGAAGCAAAACCAGTGCAGTGTATAGACAGGTAGGTAGGTAGGTAGATAGATTTATATCAAGGAAATGACTCAGGTGGTTGTAGAGGCTGGTAAGTCCCAAGTCTGTTGGTCAGGCTGGAGGCCTCTCTTGACTCATGTGGCAGCAAGGGCTGGTGAACCCAAGATGGGCAGGTCACACAGCAGGCCTCTGGCTCACAGACTGCGGAGGCTGACAGATCCCAAGATTGACGGGTAAGCTGGTGGTTCAAGTTCCAAGAACCAGAGTTCAGATGAACAGGAGCCAGCTGCAGGATCCAGAGTGAGCAAAAGTCAGCAAGCTTTGCCAGAAAGTCCACATATATTGGATGCGGGCCACACCCCAAGTAAACCCCCTTTCAGCTGATTGGCTGCTCATAACAGATCTCATCATGGAGGTGATTACATTATTATATAGCTGCCAAACTACATCATAACTGCCAAACCACTGAGAATCATGTCCTAGCCAAGTTGACACCCGATCTTAACCATCACAGTCCACCCCTTGTCAACTTGACACCCGTACACTTCCTTAAATAAAGACAATTATAAAGTCATACTCGTGCCTAGCATGATACAGCTAACATGCATACAACCTAAAATGCACTAGCCCTGTTTTCATCTTGTATTTTGTAAGTGAAGAAGAGGAAAATATTTGATGCACACATGCAAGGAAGAAATACTCAGCGATTACAGTCTTTGTTTCTGCATCTGATCACATGATAGTAGTGGGTATTTAGAACTGCCTTCTTCCACTACCCATTTCGTTTTCCCTTTACACTCAGCAAGCACTCCAGCTGGTTGTTGTTCTTTGCCTGGTGGAGTGACCCTAACTTTCATTCCTGAAGGGTCTGTGCCATTATAGTTATGTCAGAATTGGGTTGCTGTAGTTTTCCATTGACTTTAATCACAGGGCATGGTAGTACCACGTTCTGAGAGATCTCTAGTGTTCCAGACATACTCTTCTTTACCTCCATTATGTAATGTAAATCTGATTTCCTTTTGGTAATCAGGATCAATCACCTGAGCCAGTACAGTAACTCCCTTCCTTGCCTGTTGATCCAGAGGTATGAGGAGCCTAAAGTGGCTGGGTGGCATTCTTAACTTCCTGGTCAATCAGTGTTGTGTCTCTTGGTGGGAGCATTCCTCACTTTGGAACTAAGACCTCTAGACCTGCAGAGCATAGGGTGTCAGGGACAAGAAGAAAAATTTTATGAGTGCGTCACGAGGGGTTATAGTGAGTGATAACCACTCCCATTTCCAACCCTTGATTCCTGGAACCATGAATCTTGGCTATGGGAGAAATAGCATCATATACTGGATGCTGGTTTAGAGCATATACAGCCTTCTGGAGAACATTGCCCCAACCCTGCAAGGTATTGCCACCTTGCTGACACTGTAGTTGTGTCTTTAGAAGGCCGTTCCATCATTCTATCAAGCCAGCTGCTTCAGGATGATGGGGAACATGGTAAGACCAGTGAATTCCATGAGAACGGGCCTGTAGTGGCACTTCGTTTGCTGTGAAGTGAATCCCTTGATCTGAGGCATTGCTGTGTGAGATACCATAACGATGGATAAGGCATTCTGTAAGTCCAAGGATGGTAGTTTTGGCAGAAGCACTGTGTGCAAGGAAGGCAAATCTGTGTCGAGAGTAAATAGCTATTCCAGTAAGAACAAAACATTGCCCTTTCCATGATGGAAGTAGACCAGTGTAATCAGTCTGCCACCAGGTTGCTGGCTGATCACCTAGAGGAATGGTGTCATATCGGGGACTCAGTGTTGATGTCTGCTCCTGGCAGATTGGGCACTCAGCAGTGCTGTAGCCAAGTCGGCCTTAGTAAGTGGAAGTCCATGTTGCTGAGTCCGTGCATAACCTCCATCCCTGCCACCATGGCCACTTTGTTCTTGAGCCCATTGGGCAATGATGGTAGTGGTGGGGAAAGAGGATGACTGATTTCCAAAGTACACATTATCCTATCCACTTGATTGTTAGAATCCTCCTCTGCTGAGTTCACCCTTTGGTGAGCGTTCACAGGAGATGCAAATATCTTCACTTCTTTGGTCCATTCAGAGAGGTTTGTGCACATACCTCTTCCCCATACCTCCTTGTCTCCAGTTTTCCAATCATGTTCCTTCCAAGTCTGTGACCATTCACCCAAACCATTGTCCAAAGCCCATGAATCAGTATATGGTCACACATCTGGACATTTCTTCTTCCAAGCAAAGTGAACAACCATTTGCACTGCTCAAAGTTCTGCCCATTGGGAAGATTTCCCTTCACCACTATCCTTCAGGGACGTCCCAGAAAGGGGCTGTAGTGCTGCCACTGTCCACTTTCAAGTGGTGCCTGTGTGTTGGGCAGAACTATCTGTAAACCAGGCATGAGTTTTCTCTTCCTCGGTCAACTGATCACAAGGAGCTCCCCATGAGGCCATAGGTCCAGACTGGGAGAAGACAGGTAACGTGACAGGAGTGGAGACCATGAGCATTTGGGCCACTTCCTCATGCAACTTGCTTGTGCCTTCAGATGCTGCTTGGGCCCGATCTCATATATACCACTTCCATTTAATGATGGAGTGCTGCTGTACATGTCTGACTTTATGACTCTGTGGTTCAGACACCAGTCCTCTGGCTCACAGGCTTCAGAGGCCGACAAATCCTGAGATAGGCAGGTAAGCTGCTAGCTCGAGTCCCACAAACCAGAGTTCACATGAACAGGAGCCAGCTGCAGGATCCAGAGTGAGCAAAAGCCAGTGAGCTTTGTCAGAAAATTCAGCTATATTGGATGCAGGCCACACCGCTAAAAAAAACTCCCTTTCAACTGATTAGCTTTCCATAACAATTCTCATCATGGAGGTGATTACATTATATTAGATCTCATTACGAGGTGATTACATCATTACATAGCTGCCAAACTACATCATAAGTGCCAAACCACTGAGAATCATGGCCCAGCAAGTTGACACACAGCCTTAACCATCACATCAATATTCTTTGCCAACACCATCAATATTCTTTGTCAACACCATAATTCAAATGCATTAGTTCTTCTTCGGTCTTCCTTATTTATTGTCCAGCTTTCACACGCATGTGAGGTGATTGAAAATACCATGGCTTGGATCAGGCACACCTTAGTCCTCAAGGTCACATTTTTGCTTTTTAACACTTTAAAGAGGTCTTCTGCAGGATATTTTCCCAAAGTGATACGTTGTTTGATTTCTTGACTGCTGCTTCCATGGGCGTTGATTGTGGATCTAAGTAAAATGAAATTCTTGATAACTTCAATATTTTCTCCATTTGTTGTGATTTTGCTTATTGGTTCGGTTGCAAGAATTTTAGTTTTCTTTATGTTAAGGTTTAATCCATGCCAAAGACTGTAGCCTTTGATCTTCATCAGTAAGTGCTTCAAGTCCTCTTCACTATCAGGAAGCAAGGTTGTGTCATCTGCATATCACAGGTTCTTAATGAGTATTCCTTCAATCGTGATGCCATGTACTTGTTCACATGGTCCAGCTTCTCGGGTTATTTTCTCAGTACACAGATTGAATAAGTATGGTGAAAGCATACAACCCTGAAGCACACCCTTTCCTGATTTTAAACCATGCGATATCCTCTTGTGTTCGAACAGCTGCCTCTTGGAGATTCTGCATGAGCACAACTGTCTATAAATGTCTGAACTGGAAGCTTCTTCATAAACCTAATAAATAGATATCCTGAAGCTATGTGCTGTGAAGTGTATCTTGTCCAGTGAGATTTTATGTTGGTCCCTGTTTAACTGCAGACATTGAAGGATTGAGTGGGGAGGCTCTCAAGTTTGCTGTAATCCTTTGTTCTCCAGAGTGAGGGTCTCTCAGTTCTCTTAATCTAGAACCTTGATGATGAATTTGTACAAGGGCTTTGAGGCCTTAAGACTGACTTTTGCTGCTCAAATTAGAGAAGTTAGATTCCTGTCAGTCAGTTTAGAGGATTATAGTGAACAAATAGTGTTCTGGTTGATAAGACTGCTTGGGAATCAAATTAGATGAGACATGAAGATAAAACAGTGATGAGTTTGGGAGAGGATGTAAGAGCTAGAGTAGACCTTACCAAGCTGCCTAGATTGTGGTCTTTGTGTTCAGGTGCTCATATCAGGGCACCCACCCTGTCATCGCCTTTCCCTGTGAAAACTGCCCAGGAGATTACCACAGGTCCTAGCTGTTCTGTTTATATATTCTTGTGCTTAATTGTGGAGCTGTGCTTTTGATCATGTTTTGTAGATTTTAATCTGTC